GTGTGTGTGAAATGTGGATTAATAATGCTGAGAGGATGAGTAATATGGTCATTTGCCATGCATTTTTCCCAGTTTCATTTGTTCCAGTTATCATCATCAGCTGCAGATATCATTTTAAAAAAAATCCCCCTCACCACAATCCATCTAATTAATTTTTGCTAATGCTGTTGAACAATATTGTTATTTGTGTGTTTCTTGCACATGATTTGGTGTAAGTGCCCATTACCCTAACTTCATCGTTGCTTGCGCATTTCCACATTCTTTTGAGCTAACATTGCTGGAGATTCAAGAGCCTGGAAGCGGTGTGATGTGGAAAATTTTAATGGTTTTTATCTCTTTGTTAAATAAATTTGTTCACTTTTGTTGTGTTGCAGCACCAATTTATGTATAGTTTTGAAGTAGGGGGAAGCCTGGATGCTCGCTTGATCAGGAAATCAAATCTTTCACATTGCGAAGTTGTTTGCATGTTTGAAGGTTAATCCGCTGTAAGCCTAGCAGATGAATTGTCGTGAAAAAGTCGAAGATTTAGGCGCCAGTGAGATTGGGTGGCCAGAATGGTTGGTTTTCTTTGAAATGGCCAGTTTAATGGGGCACTGTACCGATGATTCCCGCCCCATTCCGCACCGGTTCTGCTGTCTGTGTTTACAGTTTAAGGATGAAACAGACTGGACAACAGCTAAAGCACATATAGGCTCGCTTATCTGGGTATCTAAATTAGCACTCCTTGCTTGCCCACAGTTGACAATATTCGACTGTTTTCCTCTCGTCGGCGGGCCTTTAGTGTCAAACAAATTTTCATGATTTACATTTTTCTTTTTTAAAAAAAATTCCAAAACACTTATGTGAGTGGACAACGAGTTTTGTCCAATTTCGGGTAAATTTTCGGGTTGTCGTCCTCGAGTCCATTTGATCAATCTGTACATGAATACGATAATGGGGGAAGGGGAAGAAGTGGGGGAGGAGGTCCCGGAGCATGTCCAAGAATTGTTGCGCATTCATGGAACTTATCCAGGACTAGTGTGGCGTATTTGCGGACTTCATTGTTGAGTGGATCCAGATGCTAATTTTACTGCTGTGATAAACCTGGCAATGTGGATTTCGCATTTCGAAGTTTCGCTTCAATAACACATCAAGTTTACAAGAAGGGCCTGTGTCGGACCCATCCAGGGTATCTTCCTAGTCCGGGAATCTTCTGAAACACGGTCTTTTCAGCACACTAGCATCGATTTCAACATCAAAGTGCGAGACGGGGGGGAGTGAGTGTATTGGCGAACTTAGGTGGACGGGATTTCGTTTCATATTTTAAATTCGCTCAAGTTTTTTTATTCCCCAAAGTTTCAATTCTTTCCGCTTCAGCGACCTTGACATCCCGTAGACTAAGAGCGAATCCATCCATCCATTTCAGTTACCACCATTGTCCGCAGGCTCTTTTTGTTGGTCATTTGAGAAGTACATGCATTCGACAACTGCGAAGATTATTGGTATCAATAATGGATGTCAAGCGGGAAAACTACTCTGAGAAAGCGGTGCCTTGATTTATGTTCTGAATGCGTGAATATATTAGACGCTCCCTGTATGGTTTTCAGAAACAC